CTCCTCCTCCACTCCTCCTCCACCTCCTCTTCCTCCTCCTCCTCCGTGTCCTCCTCCTCCTCCTCCTCTTCCTCCTCCTCGTCTTCCTCCCGCTCTTCCTCCCCCTTTTCCTCCTCCTCCTCGTCTTCCTCCTCGTCCTCCTCCTCTTCCTCTTCCTCATTCTCCTGTTCCTCCTCCTCTTCCTCTCCTCCTCTTCCTCCTCCTCTTCCTCCTCCTACCCAGGGGTCGCCTGCGAAGTGCATCAAGCTCTGCAGCTAGAGACACAGACCCCCAACGGCCTTATCCTTACCTTTATCCTCCTCCTCCTCCTCCTCCTCCTCCTCCTCCTCCTCCTCCTCCTCCTCCTCCTCGTCCTCCTCTTCCTCCCCCTCCTCCTCCTCCTCCTCCTCCCTCCCTCCCTCCCTCCCTCGCTCCCTCCCTCGCTCCCTCCTGACCTGCCCCCGTCCTCCAGAGCACCTCTCTCCTTGGCTATCCCTCCCTCCCTCCCGCGCCGCTCCGTCGCTCTTTCCCCCTCCTCCTCCGCGGCGACACGCTCCTCGTCTCCCCTCCCACGCCCCTCCCCTGGCTCTGCCCCAAAATTGATTTTCTCGTGGAAGTACAAAGCATACGCGTAGTGCTCGTACATCTTCAAGAATTATACGCACTTTACGTAGTTCAACGATCAAGCCAGATCTGGCGTAAATCAATTACGCAGTCGATCCCCTACTCGATCCTTCAAGAAGAATCCAGGGCGATAATACAGAATTAGGTGAGCAGAGATCGAGAACCTCTGAGATCCAGCGGCTCTGGAAGATCTCTCGGGCGCCGTGGCCTTCTCAGAGCGTTCCGGAACGCTCTGAAAGCGTTCTGGAACGCTCTGAAACGGTTTTACCCTCGTCCTGGCCCCGTCCGACCCCCCCCCCCCTCACCGAGGCGCCACCTGCGGCGCCGTCCCCCCAACATGGTGAACATCGACCGACGCTTTGGCCAGCGCTCATGCGGCGGGCTCCAGCAGCCCCGGACCCCGAAAAGATGGCATCTCTTCGGAGGGTAACCTCTACTTCCGCCAACTTCCGCCGGCGGAGGCGGTCTCGTTCTACTTCCGAGGGCTTCCGCCACCCTTCCGCCGAGGAGGAGAGGCCCTTCCGTCTGCAGAACACCCCAAACGGACGTGAAGGGGCGCAACCAGCATGTCCGGTCAAGCTGAAATTGATGCACCACACAAGGCGTCGAGCCAAAACTTTGGACCTGAGCGAACGGTTGGGTGCTGCTTGCGAGGCGCTTGACCACCCTGCCGTCCCTTTTTTGCTTGTTCTGCAGGGGAAGGCGCTCTCTGACCCTCGGCCCTGCTCAAGCCCAACCTCTCGCTCCCTCGCAGGCAAGGCCCCTGCAGGAGCGCCCCGTGCATTGCCGGCATCGGAGCACGGGAGGAGGAGGAGGAGGAGGAGGAGGAGGAGGAGGAGGAGGAGGAGGAGGAGGAGGAGGAGGGGGAGGAGGAGGAGGAGGAGGAGGGGGAGGAGGATGATGAGGAGGAGGAGGATGATTGGGGATGAGGAGGATGAGGGGGAGGGGAGGAGGGGGAGGAGGAGGAGGAGGGCACCGAGCGCTCGAGAGGCCGTCGCCCCACGCCTCCTCCGGCAGGCGCACGTCCAGCGGGGAGGGCATCGCCGCGAGGGCGCGGACGTGGCCGACGGCCACGTCGGGCACCACCGCCCGCGCCACGCAAAGGCTCTCGAAGAGGAGCCGCGCGTCGCCCCGCGCCTCCAGCAGCGAGCCGACGGCCTCCTCCGAGCACAGGGAGCGGAGGAGCCAGTCCTGAGCAGGGCGCCTCGCCCCACCGCTCCCCGACCCCACTGGCGTGGCCCTGGCTTACACGGCGTTCATTTGTGATCGTGCTCACTTCTAGTTGTGCTCGTTTCTAATCGATCCTGGTCACCTAGGGGCCAGGACGAGGCCCAGGATAGAATAATTAGAAATGAAAGGATCTTGGCACCCAAAAAATCAAATAACTTTCGAATACTTAGGAATGAAGAACGTGTATGTTGTTCCAATCGTACTTAAGGACCACATCACAAAAATAATTTCGAGCACCCGGAAAGGTGTCGAAACAGTGTCGAAACAGTGTCGGACGAGTGTCTCCAGGGTCCGGCACGTGAAAACCCTGGTACTTGTTTGGTGCTGGAAATTCTTTCTGGTGGTTCAGGCTAAAGTAGGTTGGAGCATCATAGGCCTCGGCCCCACAGGCCGACCTGCCCACCCCGGCGGGGAGGTACGCCTGTGCCTTCGGGTCTCGCGGGGCAGATCCCCACCTGGGGCGGGGTGGGCCGGTGGCGCGGAGGTACCATGGCCCGGTGCCCAGACATGCGACGTCCTGGTCCTTTCCACATGTGGTCCCCGGAAATCCCCCAAGCCCTCCCTGCGTAGGGCGGGCTCGCCACCCCCAGCCGCTTCTGGACGGCCCCGGCGGGGGGGGCCGATGTGGCACAGCACGGCCAGGAACCTCCCGCCGTGTTCTTTCATGGCGCGGGCACGTCTGGATTTGAGTCGGGCGTGTCCTCCTACAGGGGGATATTCGACGAACAATAAAACATACTCAAAAAATGCTCCAGAATGGCCAGAAAATAATAAAACCTGATATTGCAACGAACCCCGACCTGAAAATGGAGGCGGGGATGATTGGTGAGAGCGACAGTGACAAGGAAGGAGTGGCCTGTTGTGGGCTTGATTAGACGACGGGGAAGACGTCCGACGAAGAAATATGTATAATCGTGGTTGGTCTCTCGGGTGCTTCTGGGAGACTGTTTTGAGGCCTCTTGGGAGCAGTTTTGGGGCATCATTTGGTCTTTTTGGACGCCTATTGGGGCCTCTTGGGGGCCTCTTGGGGCTTCTTGGGCTCTCTTGGGGACCTATTGGGGCCTCCTGGGGCTCTCTTGAGGCAGAAGGCTCGAATTCTCGGTTCGTGGTCCCGCTCTTGGGCCCCTCTTGGGGCCGTCTTGGGGCCCTCTTGGACCGTCTTGGGCGCTTCTTGGGCCGTCTTGGGGCCCTCTTGGGCAGTCTTGGGGCCCTCTTGGAAGCCTCTTGGGCCGTCTTGGGGCAGTCTTGAAGGCTTCTTGGGCCGTCTTGGAGCGTCGGAAAGCCGAAGAGGCGCGAAGTCCAAAATCCTTCAGAAACCGTCGTAAAGCTGTTGATTTTCACCTCTTGGGGCTCTCTTGGGCGACTGATTGGAGGCCTCTTGGGGCGTCTTGGCGGCCTCTTGGGCGATCTTGGGCCCATCTTGGGCTGTCTTGACCGCTCAGTCGGCGACTCGTTACCCTCTTGGGTCATCTTGCGGACTCTCTTGGAGCCGCCCGTGCCTCCCGGAAGCGCGTCTGCAGAAATACGGCCCTCTTCCGCCGGCGGGGACCCCCAGACCCCCCCAGGGGGACACTAAACGGGAACCCCTCCGCCAGGTCGGGGAAAAATAGTCCCCATATTATTTTTTGACTATTTTTGAATATTCCCCCTGTAGAGGGACAGGCCCGACTTCTGGGTGGGGGCGGGGGTAGGTTGGGCGATGCGGAAGTCCGCGCTCGCGGCCGCCTGCGGCAGCAGACCCAGGGCCGCCAGCGACCACAGCGCCGCGAGCGCCGGGCGCGGGTGCAACTCCACCGCCCCGGGGTCCTCTGCCGGGCGCACGTCTGAACCGATCATGTAGTACAAATAGCTTCTGGCATACAGTGGAGGCCCGTCTACAAGAAACCTTGCACAAGAAACCCAAACATGAGAGCCCAGGACGTCCACTGTTGTTTGGCGTGGGAGCGTCACGCTCTCCATGGCAAAACCCTCGAAACCGAAGAAACTCAGGGCACCCTGGAGGCAAGCAGGCTGTTTCTTGGCATGGGCCTCCATGTAGCACTATCCAGCCGGCATGTGGCCGGAAAGCACGCGACACCGAGCATATACTGTAAGAGTTCTGCGCGTGCGCGGCGCCCCCCTGGGGGGGGGGGGCGACGCACACCTACAGCCGAAACGACGATCAAGAAACTCGTCATTTAAGACATCTGGGCCAGCTCCCCGGAAGTTTTTCTTAAAACAAGCCTGGGCCGATGCTGGTGGTTAACGCTGGAGGGGGCGATTGTGCTCCCGAAACTGGACCAGCTCGCCGACGAGATGGTCCCAAAACGCTGGCCCAGCTGTTCGGGAGGAGGCTTCTTGGTTGGCTGCTCGACTGTAGCAGAAGTGGGGAAACTAAAAGGTACCGATACCGCTACTCCCTGGACCTCTCCCGGGGTGCGTTCTGACCAGAATTTCGAGGCGAATGCAGCGGTGGCGACGAGGGCCTCCCAGGAGGCCCTGAAAAAAGAAAACGAAGGGTGGAGGTATGAGGTACCTTTCCTCCTCTGAAGAAGTATGTGTACAGTGGGGGCTCGGCCACAAGAAACCTCCGCAAGAAATCCAGCCCTGAAATCCGCGATTTGTTCAGTGGCGATCCACATGTGTTGACCGAAAATCGTCAAGATCTGATTTGGAGCACATCGAAATCCAAGAAACCCAGGGCATCCTGGCAAAATCCAACTGATTTCTTGGCACGCGCCGCCACCTCCATCCTCCTCCAAAATCATCCTCCATCCTCATCCATCCTCCTCCTCCTCCATCCTCCTCCTCCATCCTCCTCCTCCATCCTCCTCCTCCATCCTCCTCCTCGATATCGGCCGTAGAGGTGGAGGTAGGGGTACCTCTTCCTCCTCTGAAGAAGTACCTGTCTGTGACGCCCCGCTCCTGCTCGGCCCAGCCCTCCAGCTCCGCCAGCAGCACGCCGAGGAGGCGCGGCGGCCGCTCCCCGGTGCACGCCAGCGCGTGGAGGGCGCGGGCGGCGTTCCGGCGGGAGATGCGCCCGCCGTTGGCCTCTCGAGTCGGGCGTGTCCCTCTACAGAGGGAATATTCCAAGATAGTCACAAAATGATCTGGGGACGATTCTTTGACGATTTCAAGTTTTTTTTTTTTTTTCTGCCAAAATCCCCCTGTAGGGGGACACGCCCAACTTAAAGTTGGCCTCGTAGCGCCGGGCGAGCGCGTCGGCGACCTCGCCGCAACCCGCCAGCCCCTGGGCGCCGAACGCCGCCAGGACGTCGGCCAGCTGCGGCATCGTCATGCGCTCCAGCAGCGGCCTCCTCGGCGGCCCCAGGCCGGGAACCTCGGAGCATCGCTCGACCGATCCCCATCCCCAGGGCCGTGGCCTCGGCCCCACAGGCCGACCTGCCCACCCGGGCGGGGAGGTACGCCTGTGCCTTCGGGTCTCGCGGGGCAGATCCCCAGCTGGGGCGGGTGGGCTGGTGGCGCGGAGGTACCATGGCCCGGTGCCCAGACCTGCGACGTCCTGCCTTGTTCCATGCGGGGTTCCCCGAAGTCTCGACCCTCTCCCTCGGGGCAATCTCTCGTCCCGAGCCGTTTTCGGACGGCCCCGGAGCCCAGCGAGGGCTCCTGGAGGCACGAACAGCCAAGAAACTCCCATCGCATTTTCTGTTCACGACGCCAGCATGTCTGGATGGGGATGGGGATAAGTTGCGTAGAAAGGTTCCCCGATGCTGAACCTCGGCACTGGGCGGGCGCGCGACCGCCCGCAGGATGCGGACGAGGACCCCCGAGTCCCGGAAGCGCACCTCCGCGAACGAGCGGATCGCCTCGCTGACCTCCGCGGGCGTCAGCTCGGGCAGCAGCCCTGGGGCGGTGGGCGCCTCGAGGGCGCCGGCCAGCCTCGCGTAGGCGGCCTCGAAGACCTTCCTATAGTCCTTGTTCGAGTAGCCTCGGAGGCTCTCGATGCAGCTCGCCACCTGTCGCGGCTCCAGGGACGGCAGGTGCGCCGCCAGCGCCATGCAGAGAGGGCGCCTCAGGTGCTCCTGCGGGGCAGGGCCACAGGCGAGCCGCAGCGCATACGCGAGGGACGCGAAGGCGGCGGGCTGCAGCGACAGAAGCCTGCCGGAGGCGACACGGTCCTGGACCGTCTGCCTGGCCTTCCTGCGGATCTCGCCCAGCTCCGAGAGCGCCAGCACCGTCTTGGCCAGGTCCTCCATGGGCAGCGTCGCGAGCTCAGGCGTGGCGGCGTCGGCCAGCGCACGCCGCAGCCTGCGCGCGGCCTCGCTGTGGAGGGGGTGCGGCAGGGAGCCCAGCGCCCGGTCGAAGGCGGCCTTCTGCAGCGCCAGCAGCAGCAGCAGAGACCGGCGGTCCGCGGCCCCCAGCAGTTCCGTGCGGGCCTCGAGTCAGGTCGGGCGGGCCCCCCTACGAAGCAGAGGAAATAGCAAACAAAACAAACAACTAGAAAAATCGTTCCCATATTACTATTTTTGAATATTCCTCCTGTAGAGGAGAGGGACAGGCCCGACTTGAGCCTCGAGCTGCTCCACCACGGCGTGGACCGTGGCCCCGTCCAGGATGCCGGCCTGCCCGAGCCCGAGCAGGGCCGCCAGCAGCGTCTGGGTGCGGCACAGCGGCCACGCGTCGCGCAGGGCGTCGAGCAGTGCCTCCACCCCCGCGGGGTCCACCTCGACTTAGGTCGGGCATGTCCTCCTACAGGTGGATTTTAGGCGAAATTCAAAACGTATACAACAAAGATTCAAAACAAAACTAAAAATGATAGAAAAACCGTGCCCCGATGATCTTTGTGACTGTTTGTGAGTCTCATGGCTATTTTTGCACACTCCCCCTGTAGAGGGACACGCCCGACTCGCACCTCGTCCCCGAAGTGGCCCAGCGCGCCGAGGGCAGCGCCCAGCACCTCCTCCTGCAGCCCCGCCGGCGCCTGCTCCGCCAGCTGCCGCGCCAGCTCCTGGGGGGCCACGAGCGAACCGCACCCCTGCCCCCCACGATTTCGGAGGGCGAGGGTGGGGTTCGCACGTGGCCCCCTAAGCTCCTCCAGCAGCCGCGCGGCGCCGCGCGGCGAGGGCGAGCGCCGCCGGCACGCCAGCAGCAGCGCGCCGACCTCCTTGGCGGGGGCGCACGGCAGCAGAGGCGCCAGCGTGCCCAGCAGCGCCTGGGGAGCACCGAGGCCGCTGCGCGGGTCTCGAGGCGGATCTCTGGCCGTGGCGACGAGGGCCTCCAGGAGGCCCCCAAGGGCCAAAGCGGGGGACGGATGGCGGCATCGCATCGGCACCTTCCCTGAGGGCCGACGGCGCGAGAAAGCACGGCATCGTGAAGCATCACGACCAGAGCCCCAAACCCCACTGCTCTGCCGCATTCTCCGAGCCGGATCCGTCTGTAGGGGCCCAGGGGCCCGAAATGCCGCGAGCACGCCCGGCAATGAAAAACAGCGACGCTGGGGGGGAGGGCTGCGCCAGTTTTGCAACGAGGCCTGCACCGGAGGAGGAGGAGGAGGAGGAATTGCACCATCCCTGTCGATCAGGATCTTGATTGTGGACGCGGTTTTCAGTGGTGGGTTTGAGTTGGGTGGGGGGCTTCGGACACCAGAAGCTGTTCTCACTCGGTTTTCTTGGCTTCTCGGATTCCCACTGGTTCTTCTGATTGCCACTAATATTTCAATAGATGATGTCCTACCTTGCAAGCCCTCCCCTGGATGCAAGGAGTGGGCACCCCATCTAACCGACACGGGCTGCAGCCCACTGTGCTGCCACTGACATCGTCAGAGGTACGGGCCAACAAAATATACTGCGCCAGCTTATGACAAATGGGGTTTGCGCTTAACCCAGAAAGAGTTAACAGAAAGCACGAGGGACCCGAGGCACAGGAGGTTGGAGATGAAGCCGTATAACCCGGGGTAGCAGCCCAAGAATTGCCACCATGCTTGTACGCTCTTTACTGTTTCGGTCACAGCACTCGCCTCGGTTGTCCTGCACTCTCTCCTTGCTCGCAAAACCAGCGTTTAAGCCTCACCTGCACAGGACTTGGCCACTTAACCTCTCTGCGCAGCAGTCTAGCCGACAGAAACACGGTTGGAGGCTCGGGTGGGGAGGGAGGGAAGCAACTATCCAAGCAGTATCTTCGCACCCGAGGTGTTTGACAGGCCAGATAAGTTTACAGTACTCTTGCATTACCTGAGGCCAGCCAATACCGACCAAGCCAGCCCCCTACGGCAGAAAGCCGCGTGACTCACATTGCCACTCCAGGCCATACTTCCAGCTGTCGGCCAGCCAGTACCGCCTGAGCCAGCCACTCTACACATCAGGAAGCCACTTGCTTCCTGAGTGTGCGACTGCTACACCAGCCTTCCTCGCCATAGTTGGTATACTCGTCGCCTGTCAGAATTGGCATTGCTTTATCCTTGACTTCACGCATGCACTTGCTATGCTGGTGCTTGGGAGGGCATTTAGCGGAGTTTGGGGGGAGATTTGGAGTGGTGTGTAGCAACTATATGGGACCCCCTGGACGGCAGGGGGTAGGCCACACGGCAGGCATTTTCGGACAGGAGGTTCCGAGCAGTCTCCGATACCCGGAATGTCTAGATACCGAGCGCAGTGCCAGCTCGCTTAGACAAGACAAACTTACAATACATACACACTGCCTCCAACTGAGCCAGCTTCCTATGGCGTATTGCCGCGTGCCTCACACTGCCACTCTATAGCGTCGCCTGCTTCGCTTCAGTTGTTATTTCGTCTCTGTGTCTTAGACGCTGCTCGCCTGGACTGACAAGGGATGGGAGGATACTATGTAGCTAAGGGGGAGGGGTATCAAGGCAACTCCAGGCGTTCAAGCGCTATTACTGCCTAATGCTGCAAGTGTAGCTCGCTCCATATTCGCTCGGTTCGTCCTCGGTTCGGATGTGACTAAACTTACGACTTCGGCTCTCGTTCGTTCGGTCCCTCCTCCTGCATACCGCCTGGCGGGCTCATACTCTGAACCCTTGGGGTCCTCTTTTTTTCTAGTTCTTTTTGCCCGTCTGAGTCTGCTGCACCCGCCAGGTTTAATTTGTGTTTCGCTCCGTTGAGTCGGCGTTCTCTTGTTTCTCACATCCAGTACCGCTCCAGGCTGCAGCCCTAAGTTTGCGCAACGTTAAAAAAAGAGGAGGAGGAGAAGGAGGAGGAGGAGCACGAGGAAGAGGAGGAGGAGGAGGAGGAGCACGAGGAAGAGGAAGAGGAGGAGGAGGAGGAGGAGGAAGGAGGAGGAGGAGGAGGAATCTCAAGGTTTTTCCGCCCCTCAGCCTCTGCCAGGGGCTCGGGCGCCTCGGCCCCAGGGCCCATCAGCTCCAGCGCCACGCGAGCGGCCGCCGAGAGTGCCTCGGGCGAGAGGCGGCCTCTGTGGCGGTAGGCCTCGCGCAGCACCGCGGAGAGCGCGCCGCCCTCGCGCACGAGCTCGCGCCGCGCGGCGTCCGAGAGCCCCGCCTCGGAGGCCCCCAGCGTGTCCCGGAGGAGGCGCAGGGTCGCCTCTCGGGTCTGCACGCCGCACGCGCTCTCGTCGGTTCTCGGCGGGCTCTCCCGGCCTCGGGCCGCCTTCCAGCAGCTGCGCCTCGCCGAGGGCGCTCCGAGGGGCGCCCGGATCGTCCCCAACGGACGGACGCCGGGGAGCCGAGCCGGGAGCCGAAAGCCAGCGGCAACATCAGCGCTGAACTGACCCGATACGCAACACGGAACGCGTAGCGTATTGATACGGAGCTCAACACGTAGACTGAAAGCATAACTCTGACGCGATGCGCTCGCCACAACGTCGGCCAACACATTGAGCCAACACGCAACACGGACGTTTTGAGCACGGTACGTGTTGCGTATCACAACGGGCGTACAGTGAAAACCCATGCCAAGAAACCCCTTGCTTGCCTCTGGGGTGCCCTGAGTTTCTTGGGATTCGATGGTTTTGCGATGGAAAGCGTGACGTTCCCACACCAACGATCAATGGACGTCCTGGGGTCTCAGGGTTGGGTTTCTTGGGAAGGTTTCTTGTGGTCGAGCTCCTCCTGTACCGAGGCAGCTAAGCAACGGCGACGACGACGACGACGATCCGAGGTGGGCGATTTGAGACAGCGGCAGTTGGCCTTCGGAGGGCTGCCCCCCGTCGCCACGGCTGGACGCAGATCAGAAAACTGGTGCGCTGGGACCTGGGTGGGGGTCCAGGGTCCGATGTTGAGCCGCCGGAGGATGGAGTAAGAAAAAACTGAAAAAAACATGGATTTCTAAGATCGGTGCTGGGCCCCCCTGGCGGTGCCTCCAGCGCCGCCCCTGGCTCGCGGAGCGCGCCGGGGCCAGGGGGCCAGCGCCGATCCAAGAAATCCGCGCGGAGATCTGGCAGTTTGTGCTTGTGCCGTTCTCCCCTCTTCCAGATGCCAAACGACGCCCAACGAGAAGAAGGCGGATGAGGTGGCAAGATGCTGTCCTGCGTTGTGCTGCCAATGACGAGATTGCTTCCTGGACAGAGCGGCCCTGGACCGCGGCTGGTGGGCATCCAGAGCCGACAGTCTCGCCACGCGGCTCATCAAACAAGGAGGCGGCACGCGCCGAGCTGCGCCCCTCGCGGGACCCCTCGGGGACGCATGCGCTTCCACTTCCTCTTCCACTGCCACTGGGGGAAGGAGGAGGAGGAGGAGGAGGAGGAGGAGGAGGAGGAGGAGGAGGAGGAGGAGGAGGAGGAGGAGGAGGAGGAGGAGGAGGAGGACGAGGAGAGAGAGGAGGAGGAAGAGGAGGAGGAGGAGGAGGAGGAGGAGGAGGAGGAAGAGGGAGGGGTAGGAGGAGGAGGAGGAGGAGGAGGAGGAGGAGGAGGAGGAGGAGGAGGGCAGGAGAGGAATGAGGAGGGAAGAGGAGGAGGAGGAGGAGGGGTGGAGAGGAGGAGGAGGAGGGGGAGAAGAAGGAGGAGGAGGAGGAGGAGGAGGAGGAGGAGGAGGAGGAGGAGGGAAGAGGAGGAGGGAGGAGGACGAGGAGGAGAGCAGGATGGGGAGTAGGAGGAAGGAGGAGGAGGAGGAGGCGGAGGAGAGGAGGAGGAGAGGAGGAGGAGGAGGAGGAGGAGGAGGAGGAGGAGGGGAGGAGGAGGAGGAGGAGGTGGGGGGGAGGAGGAGGAGGAGAGGCGGAGGAGGGGGAGGATGAGGAGGAGGAGAAGGAGGAGGGAGGAGGAGGAAAGAGGAGGAGAGGAGGAGGAGAGGAGGAGCAGGGGAGAGAGGAGGAGGAGGAGGGAGGAGGAGGAGGTAGGAGGAGAGGAGGAGGAGGAGGAGGAGGAGGAGGAAGGAGAGGAGGAGGAGGAGGAGGAGGGTAGGGGAGGAAGGAGCGGAGAAGGAGGAGGAGGAGCAGGAGGTGGAGAGGAGGATGGAGGAGGAGGAGGAGGAGGAGGAGGAGGAGAGGGGGAGGATGAGGAGGAGGACGAGGAGGAGGAGGAGGAGGAGGAGGAGGAGGGGAGGAGGAGGAGGCGAGGAGGAGGAGGAGGAGGAGGAGGAGGGGAGGAGGAGGAAGAGAAGAAGGAGGAGGAGGGAATGGTCAGGAGGAGGAGGATTTCAGGAGAAGGAGGCCCAGCGAGGAGGAGGAAGGAGGGAGGTAGGAGAGGGAGGTTTTTAGGAGGATGGAGGAGGAGAGAGGAGACGAGCGCAAGAAAGGAGGAAGATGATGATGAGGAGGAGGGTGAGGAGGAGCAGGAGTAGGAGCAGGAGGGGTGCGGCCCAGGGTCGCCTCCAGGCCTGCGCCGGCGGCACCGGGCCGCGAGCAGAGCAGCTCCAGCTTGGTGAGCAGCTGGAGGTCCCCGGGCTCCGGCGCGCGGGCGGGCCGCGGCGGGAGCAACGCGACGGCCTCGGAGAGCTCGTCGCGGACCTCCGGCAGCTACTGGCCCCCCGCGACTCCACCTTACGCCCCTCCTGCTGCTGCCGCTCCCCCCGTCCCCTCCTCCTGCTCCTCCTCCTCCTCCTGCTCCTCCTCCTCCTCCTCCTCCTCCTCTCCTCATCCTCATCTCATCCTCCTCCTCCTCCTCCTCCCCCTCTCTCTCCCCCTCCTCCCCCTCCTCCCTCCTCCCTCCTCATCCTCCCTCCTTCCCTCTCCCTCCTGCCTCCTCCACTCCTCCCTCCTCCCTTCCTCCCTCCTCCCCCCTCCTCCCTCCCTCGTCCCTCGTCCCTCGTCCCTCGTCCCTCGTCCCTCGTCCGCGTCCTCGTCCTCGTCCTCGTCCTCCTCCTCCTCCTCCTGCTGTTGCTGCTGCTGCTGCTGCTCCCCATCGCGCCGCATCGCTTGTGCATCGGCGATGCGGCTCGATGTCGAGCCGCAGTTTCTCCACGCCGATGGCGCCGATGCATCGCCGACGTCGCCGATGCATCGCCGGTGCATCGTCGAGGCATCGGCGATGCGGGGCGAGCCTGAATTCGACCCCTTCACATCGGCTACCTCCTCCCTCCAGGTGAGCGGCGACACGGAACGGGTTCTGCGCACGATGGCATAGCGACCTTACGGGGTGGCTTACGCGGGCCATCAGCGTGGCACACCGCGTGGAGAGGAGGGCGCTTTCGCGCGACCCCGCGCGGGAAGCTTACGCGCGAATGTCCGCGCAATCGAACCTGCCGTTTTTCTGCGTCGCTCAGGTGTCTCCAGAGGCCCCTGGATGTCCCCGGAGGCCTCCAGAAGGAAGCCCAGCAGGAGGAGGAGGAGGAGGAGGAGGAGGAGGAGGAGGAGGAGGAGGAGGAGGAGGAGGAGGAGGAGGAGGAGGAGGAGGTGGAGGAGGGAGGAGGAGGAGTGGGGGGGGGGCGGAGGAGGAGGAGGACGAGGAGGAGGAGGAGGAGAGGAGGAGGAGTAGGAGGAGGAGGAGGAGCAGGAGGAGGAGGTGCGCCGCTGGGAAGCATCCACATCCACAGCTCCAGGAGCGCTGCCCTGGACTTCTGGCGAGTGGTGCATTTTTGGACACACTGCCGCCCTCGGGGGCGGGCAGACATCCACAAGCACCATTCCTTGAGAGGCTCCTCCTCCTCCTCCTCCTCCTCCTCCTCCTCATCCTCCTCCTCCTCCCTCCTCCTCCTCCCTCTCCTCCTCTCCTCCTCCCCCTCCTCCTCCTCTCTCCTCCCCCTCCTCCTCCTCCTCATCCTACTCCTCCTCCTTCCTCCTCCTCCCTCCTCCTCCTCCTCCTCCCTCCTTCCTCCCTCCTCCTACCTCCTCCTCCTCCTCCTCCTCCTCCTCCTCCTCCTCCTCCTCCTCCTCCTCCACCCACCATTCCTTGAGAGGCCCTGGAGGTCCTGGGCCAAGACTCCGAGGCGGTGGACACGTAGATGTGTTCTGCTGGTGGGAACAAACGAAGGGAAAACGGTATGACCATACACTTCCGTAGCTCCGCGCGGATTTCTCGGATTGACGCCGATCCAAGAGATCCGCGAGAGGCTACGACAGTTTATGTTCAAGCACTTGTTTCTTCCTCGAGGACACGAACCCAGGCATGCGATGCTCTGATTATTTCAAGACACGGTCCCGGAAAGTCTCGACCCTTTCTGCACGACAGGCTTTCCATCACGAATCGTGGCGGCCCTGGGGCCCGGTGAGGGCCCCCGGAGGCCCGGAAACTGCCAAAAACTTCCTGCCATGATTTTTTCTACGACGCGGCCCCAGAGATCCCGACCCCTCTCCCAGATGTGGCTTTCCGCCCTGCATCTAAATTTGACGGCCCCGGGGCCCGACAACGGCCCCCGGAGGCGCCAAGAGGAAAGAGTTATCCCGGCAAAGCAACCTAACAGCGATGTGTAGGAGCATATCTGGAAGCATTCCCCTTAAGATTCAGATGAGAATCCAGTTGTAGAATTCTGCTGTTCTCGCAGTCGTAGTCGCATTCGCGATGACAGTCGCAGTGGCAACCGGCAGTCCCAGTCACGCATCAGCCTCAGCCTCAGCCTCAGCCTGCCTCAGCATCAGCCTGCCTCAGCCTCAGCCTCAGCCTGCCTCAGCCTCAGCCTCAGCCTGCTTCAGCCTCAGCCTCAGTGCCTTCAGCCTCGCCTCAGCCTCAGCCTGCCTCAGCTCAGCCTGCCTCAGCCTCAGCCTCAGCCTGCCTCAGCCTCAGCCTCAGCCTGCTTCAGCCTCAGCCTCAGTCTGCCTTCAGCCTCGGCCTCAGCCTCAGCCTGCCTCAGCCTCAGCTGCATCAGCCTCAGCCTCAGCCTCAGCCTGCCTCAGCATCAGCCTGTCTCAGCCTCAGCCTCAGCCTCAGCTGCATCAGCCTCAGCCTCAGCCTGCTTCAGCCTCAGCCTCAGTTGCCTGCAGCCTCGGACCTCAGCCTGAGCCTTCCTCAGCCTGAGCCTGCTCAGCCGCAGCCTCAGCCTCAGCCTGCCTCAGCCTCAGTCTGCCTCAGCCTCCAGCCTCAGCCCTGCCTCTGCCTCAGCCTCAGCCTGCTTACAGCCTCGGCCTCAGCCTGCCTTCAGCCTCGGCCTCAGCCTCAGCCTGCCTCAGCCCAGCTGCATCAGCCCTCAGCCTCAAGCCCAGCCTGTGCGTAGATGTATAAGGCTCAAGTCTCAGCCTCAGCCTGCCTCAGCCTCAGCCTGCCTCAGCCTCAGCCTGCCTCAGCCTCAGCCTCAGCCTGCCTTTGCCTCAGCCTCAGCCTGCTTCAGCCTCAGCCTCAGTCTGCCTTCAGCCTCGGCCTCAGCCTCAGCCGGCCTCAGCCTCAGCCTGCATCAGCCTCAGCCTCAGCCTCAGCCTGCCTCAGCATCAGCATGCCTCAGCCTCAGCCTCAGCCTGCCTCAGCCTCAGCCTCAGCCTGCTTCAGCCTCAGCCTCAGTCTGCCTTCAGCCTCGGCCTCAGCCTCAGCCGCTCAGCCTCAGCCTCAGCCTGCCTCAGCCTCAGCCTCAGCCTGCCTCAGCCTCAGCCTCAGCCTGCTTCAGCCTCAGCCTCAGTCTGCCTTCAGCCTCGGCCTCAGCCTCAGCCTGCCTCAGCCTCAGCCTGCATCAGCCTCAGCCTCAGCCTCAGCCTGCCTCAGCATCAGCCTGCCTCAGCCTCAGCCTCAGCCTGCCTCAGCCTCAGCCTCAGCCTCAGCCTGCTTCAGCCTCAGCCTCAGTCTGCCTTCAGCCTCGGCCTCAGCCTCAGCCTGCCTCAGCCTCAGCCTGCATCAGCCTCAGCCTCAGCCTCAGCCTGCCTCAGCATCAGCCTGCCTCAGCCTCAGCCTCAGCCTGCCTCAGCCTCAGCCTCAGCCTGCTTCAGCCTCAGCCTCAGTCTGCCTTCAGCCTCGGCCTCAGCCTCAGCCTGCCTCAGCCTCAGCCTGCATCAGCCTCAGCCTCAGCCTCAGCCTGCCTCAGCATCAGCCTGCCTCAGCCTCAGCCTCAGCCTGCCTCAGCCTCAGCCTCAGCCTGCTTCAGCCTCAGCCTCAGTCTGCCTTCAGCCTCGGCCTCAGCCTCAGCCTGCCTCAGCCTCAGCCTGCATCAGCCTCAGCCTCAGCCTCAGCCTGCCTCAGCCTCAGCCTGCCTCAGCCTCAGCCTCAGCCTGCCTCAGCCTCAGCCTGCCTCAGCCTCAGCCTGCCTCAGCCTCAGCATCAGCCTGCCTCAGCATTCAAAATGTGCCTCAGCCTCAGAGTTCTGGGAACTCGAAGACCACGAAGTTGCCTACAACTGGTTCCGGGCATTCAAAATCATGCCCAGGAATGATGTTCTGGGAACTCGAAGACCACGAAGTGGCCTACAGTTGGCTCCGGGCATTCAGATTCACGCCCAGGAATGGAATTCTGGGAACTCGAAACCCACGAAGTGGCCTACAACTGGCTCCGGGCATTCAGATTCCCGCCCAGGAATGGAGTTCTGGGAACTCGAAGACCACAAAGTGGCCTACAGTTGGCTCCGGGCATTCAAAATCATGCCCAGGAATGGATTCTGGGAACTCGAAACCCACGAAGTGGCCTACAGTTGGCTCCAGGCAATCAAAATCATGCCTAGGAATGGAGTTCTGGGAATTCGAAGACCACGAAGTAGCGTACACTTGGCTCTGGGCATTCAAAATCATGCCCAGGAATGGAGTTCTGGGAACTCGAAGACCACGAAGTGGCCTACAGTTGGCTCCGGGCATTCAAAATCATGCCCAGGAATGGAGTTCTGGGAACTCGAAGACCACGAAATGCGCTACTGTTTGCTAAAAAAAATGCCTGGATTCCCGCGGCACTCCCGGGATTCCCGCGGCACCCGTCCGGCATCTGCCCAGACCCCCCTGGGGAGTCATGATGCTCTATTTTGAGACCGTTAGAAACCTATCAGTCTTCGCTGTTAAGTGAAAACGCCACGACTCAAGTGAGAGTTTTCTTATTCGGCGTTTCGACATGGGGCGGATGAGGGGGGGGGGGAGGGGGGGGTCTGGCTCCGGACCTCTGCTTGGTGGGACTGTTTGCAGCAGTGCATGCTAGGGGGGAGACTCCACCGTCTCGAAGCAGGCGCCAAAAAAACAGCCAATCTCCACTCCAGGGTCGGGGGGGAAGGAGGGGATGCGAGGGCCCGCGCCGACCGGCAAAACAACGAACAAGAAAACGATCACCCCCCCCAAAAAAAACGATGTCTGGAAATAGGCAAGCGCGTTCCGCTACTTGCGAAGTCACTACTCGCAAATGGCCTGGAGCCGTCGCGAAGGATTGGCGATGAATTGCATCGAGGCGAACGTGTGATTTTTGGACGCTAGCGAATAGGGACTTTGCGAGTAGTGGAACGCGCTCGGTGAGGGAAGCCTAAGGAATCGGACTCTATACACCGACGCTTCTTCCGGCCCTGCATTGGAATTTGCACTGGAGAGCGGATCCTGGTGTATACGGGACCCTGGTGTACGCGTGTTTCGCTGCTTTCCCCGGACATCGGGGGTAAAAGTATACACCACACCACCCCAGCGTCGTCCTCGACCCTCTGGGACTGAAAAACAGCCCGCCACTGGTAACGAGGGGGAGGGGGAGGAGGAGGAGGAGCAGGAGGAGGAGGAGGAGGAGGAGGACTATGGACTATGGATTGGCCTGCCTCCGAAGAGGCAGGTCCGAAAAGAGAAGAAGGTGAAACACACAGGCGGTGGCTGCCGCTTCAGGCAGCAGGCGGAGCAAAGCAAGGGCCGCACGTGCCAACAAAAATGACCCCTTTTACCCCGCCGGCGTCAAGAATATCGCATGCAATCTCGCATCATAGTCGTGGAGGCCGTCACCGTCGAGCAGCTTACCGTGCGAAGCTGGCAAGGTGGGGAACCCACGCAAGCAGGGGGCCCACAGCAGCTAATCCCCTAACTCGTGATACAGTCGGAGAGTGGCAGGGACGACAGGTCCCAGCGAAACGTTGGCCCAGGGTCAAGCCCGCCTGTTCTGGAAGCCGCTTTGCGCAAACACTGGCGAGACAAGTGTGACACATTTGTCGAATAATGCGACCCGCAAAGTTTACAAAACCACGTCGGGCATACGTGTCGGCGCAGTCGTTGCCTGTAGTCATCCAGGCCGCCTGCACAGGCGACATCACGTCCAAATGCGAAGTCACTTTGCGCACAGAGATCAGATCATATCCGATATCACGGGCTTTAAAATGGATGCGCTTCCAAATGTCGGCGTGCGGGGCCCAGCCCGAGACAGCATGGGACTCAGGAGCCGACCAAGTATCCAGCACCCACTGACAATCACCACAATACTCATAACATCCACGCGCATCGGGAACAGCATAAAGCAAGACAATCAATAGTGCCATGGATTCTGATCCAGGAACTGACTGGTGTAGTCCAGGGTATGCCCCAAAAGCTGCTGCGCGAGCAGATCCACTAAGGCGCACCGGCACAGCCGAGAAACCGCATCTGAGGGCACGGGGAGATGGCCCATAAAGGCCCGAGCCGTCGACGAAAACGGGCGAAACCAACAACGGCTGGTCAGAGCCATCTTTGAAGTCCCAGTGGACCTCCAGGCTCAAGAGGGGGTGGGGGAGGAGCCGCTCAGGGTCAGGCACTAATGCTGAATGCCAAAGTGGATCCGCCGGGAACCTCGCGCGAATTCGCTCCACATGGGCTGGGAGACCGTAGGTACGACGATCTTCCCAGAGAGCAGGACAGCTCCAGAGTAAATGATGTAGCGCCGAGGCCTCATCATTCGAGGTGTGCCCACACAGCGAGCAGCCCAAACGTAAGTGAATCGCTCCAGTAAGCACTGCACGAAGACACGTACTCTGCTGGCGTCCCAAACGTACGACGAGATTCCGAAGTGGAGGAAGGTAGGGAGGGCCATCCAAATGAGATAATATGGGGTGGTTCGGTATATATTGACACCAAGACCAAACCTCCGCGTCCCATGTCACAACACATGCTACATCGCGCGGAGAAGTGTGATCGACGTCAACAGTATGACCCCCAGGTGTGACCCAAAATGATGGTGACATAAAAGACCAACCAAGTCTCAACAATGTGGCAACCAATGCAGAAGCTGGTCCCCGGAGGTCGTCCCAGTGGGTGTCCAGAGAAACATTGGCAATCGCCCGCGAAAGAGCTTCATCCAAGAAACAACGCGGTAACAAGCAATTCCACTGAGATGCCAACCGCATCATGACTACATCGACGTGGGCAGGCACGGCGGGATTCACGATCTTGTCCAGAGCCAGATCCATCGTAACGCATCTGTGGCTCCGGGTCGACAAAGCAACGCGATAAAAGGAGCGTAACTTTTTAATGCGAGGCGTGCTGGGCCCCGTCACCGAAGATCCATGCATGGCTGCGGGAAGTATGCCCTGCCTGACCAGCCGGCCTACGGGTCCGCCGGCCTTGCGGAGCCGCGCCGCTCGGCGCGCTCTCTGCGATGCGCCCTTGAAGCGTTTCTGCCGGACGCGATGGAGCAGCCCACGGCGAAGCGCGAGCGCGAAGTCCACTCCCAAATTTCTCGCCGCGGCGGGCAGCGGCCGGCCTGCTGGGGGAGCAAGCGGCCGCGCGGCAGCAATCACGTCACGTGCAACAGAAGGGTCAGAACATAGCAAGACTAGCTTTTTAGGGTCAACGGACACAGGGAGTTGCGCACTGCAATTCAAGGCGTGCATCAAAGCTGCTGCAACCACAGGGGCCCGATCAGCGAGAAACCGGACAGTCCCGATGATGATGAATTGGACGTCGTCGGCCACCACGCCGTACTGGGCATACTTGAAAGCGCCGACCTGGACGTCGAGGTCGGGGACGATCATGCAGCGCATCAACAGGTCTGCAAACGCACACCCAGCAATAATTGTCCGAGTGGCCTTGACGATGTCCCCGCACAGGCCCTGCGCCGAAATGAACCGCGGCCCAGTGTAGAGCGACAGGGGAAATTTCAACAGCCAAGGGTTGAAGCCCAACCGAAGGGCCCTCGGGACAAGCACCCGGTGAATAACGTGCTCAAGCGCCTTCACGATATCGAGTGACAAAGCCAAGCTCGCCCGCCCTCGCGCATGGGCTACTTCGGCCATCACTGCTTGGCGCCACACGCGTGCCAAACTAGACTTACCGGTTGTGCCAAATAAATAGTCCCTCGCCGTGGGGCCCGAAAATCGCTGACCGTAAGTACGACGTAACCAACGAAGGAGAATCCGAACCGTCGTAGCAAAGCAAGCAACAGGACGATCACTAGTGTCTTTCGGGACCAAGGACATGACAACATTACTCAACAGGGTCGGAGGACGGCCGAGTAGAAGCATCGCGCGCCACAGGGCAATGAGGCAACGAAGACAGTCATCTGACAGCTGCGCGACGTGCCGAGGGTGCAGCCAGTCGCATCCAACAGACGTCCTGGCTTTAAAACGCGAGGCAACCTTCCGGATCTGGGCGGGGGTCGGCATCACCAGCAAATCCAAATCATCAGGGGACATCGGGGGAAAGACTGGGGCCTCGTACTCCGCGTCCACCCCCCAGATGGGGTGCCAGAAGTTCTGACGAGCTCCGATATGATGCATCGGCGTACCCATGGGCTCGTGCGTGACGTCCCGGTCCAACTCGAAATCGACCCAGGCATCCGAGCCTCGGAGAAAGCGGAAGGCCGACGACGAAGCCTTCGACGCCTCGGTAGACGCCCGCATCTTCCACGACTTATGACGATCAGCCGCCGCCTTGGCCCCCAACGCAGAAGCCATCAAGTCAATGTGATCATGGAGGTCCTGAAGCTGGAGTCGAGATAGCAAAGGAAGGTGGAACACCTGTTCCTGCCACCACGCCCACTCAACAGGAGGGCTCCCTTCGCGGGGATTCGGGCGGTACCGGCGAATCTTCGCAGCACTGTGTACGCACCCGTAAGTCTGGAAGCCTCACGCAATTGAATGAGGGTGTCCAGTCTGTTGGCCAAATGGCGCCACAACCGAGCATGGCAGCCAGCAAAGGGGCGCCCCTTGCATAACGTCAAAACTGAAACCATGTTGAACTCCATGGGCTGGCCCCGAAATACCTGTTTGGAGGTTTCCATCTGGTGGAGGCCCAGGAGCTCAGCTGCCGCTCGTTGGAGCCATTGTGAAGTAGCCCCGTCCAGAGTGTCAGCGTGCAGCTCAGCCGCGAAGATGTCATCGTACTGCGGAGGCTCAGGCGAGCACCCCTGAGGAACCTCCACCGGAATCGCTGGAGGCCGCCTCACTTGACAGACAAGACGCCGCTGAAAAGAAGACTGGATTTCCAGAACAACCGGCTGATGCTTCGCAACATCAGTGAAAGGCTGGACCCAACAACGCACATCCGAAGCGAAAATTGGGTGAACGACAAAATGATCAATGAGAGACTCAACAGGCCCAGAGATATATGTAACCTCATCAGGGTGAACCATCACCCCACCAACCAAATCCAACCAGCCAGAATCGCGGAGGAGGCGTGGGTCCATCTGCCAGTCGGCCCCGATCACGAAAGGAGTCCTGGCCGCCTTCACGACAGAAGCCACCTGGTACAAGAGCTCCGTATTAGCCTCGCGAGTGCCAGGCTCGTTCCCGGAATGCAAATACAACGAATACAATGTGACACCATTCGGAACGACACCGTACCAAGTGGAAGCAATAAATCGTGAGCAAGACGGCAGATCATCCAATCCAAGATCCAAGGGTTTCAATGCCGTGGACCATATGCACAGGACCCCGACTCCGCAAGTCAACCCGCCTGCGTCCGTAGGGTCCGAGGGGTGCAGAAGTGTACGAAATCTGGCACGATGGGCCTGCACCACGGCCTCATCGATAGCTGCAGCAGGTCTCATGAGCTCCTGAACGCATACTGCATCAAAGCGGGAGCCACACCCAGAAAGCAGAGTGGGCCCAGAAGACCAAGACGTAATATTCGCCGTAGCGATGCGCCATCCACGAACACGACGATTCCTGGCGGCCCTTCTTGACCATGGTAAAACACTTGATGGGGTACCGTGGGACGGGCTGGCCCGTCACGGAGATACTACCCTGGAGATTTAGGGCGGCCCGCATCGCCAGGAAGTGCATTAGAATCCGCCATCTCCGCCTCGGCGTCCCTCTCCAACGCGCGCTTCGAACGACGCGAGCTGCCGCCTGCGAAAACAGAACCATCATCAACAAAGAAGTCGTCCGCAGGGTCGCGAACGTCATACCCAGCGCCGTTAGGATCCCAACCATCATCAACGAAGCCGTCCTCATCGAGATACTCAGACCAGTAGTTGCTGTCCTTACGGCGCGTGCCTGACGAAGCAGCCGCCGCTGCGTAGCGACGGAACCCAACCCCCCGACCAGACGACCCACCCCCACCATCCCTGGGCAGGGAAGGGGGGCGGGAACGAGGCGAGGCCGGAGGAGTGGGGGAATCTTTGGGAAGACCCGGGTCCTGAGGAGCACCCGATACAGCACCATCCAAACTCTGGACTGCCACCATGAATGCTGGATCAGACTTGAAATTATCAGGAACTGCTGAAAGTACGGTGGCGAGAGCTGCCGCTGGAAGTGGAACATCTGGTGCAGCCTCCGGGACAACCAATTCATCAAGCTGACGCTGCCAATTCCCCAACACATCCTCGAGCTGGGCCTTCCTGCCAGACAAGACGGCCCGGCGCGCTTGAAGCTCCAAGAGGTCAGATTCAACCTGAGCGAGCTGAGAGTCCACTTTCTCCATGCGTGCCGTAGTCCAATCAATGTGGCTCTCGATCCTGCTCTTCTGCTGCACTGGCGTGAGCAGAGCCGACCGCTGACGACGATGCGAAGCCAAGGAGCGCGAAAGACGAGCGACCTCATCGTCGACCGGACAATACTTAGCCAACCCATTGAGTTTATCAAGAAACGACTGCTCGGCCTGGATGAGGACCTCCAAGTGCCGCACGTCGTCCTCGTCCGTCTGCTGGGCATGCACGGAGTCACGCAAATACACCTGCATCTTGGCACCTTTCCCATTCGGCACTCCCTTGCTCCCTGCTCCTTTCCCCTTTCCCTTGCCATGGCCAGCATGGGAGTCTGGGCGATCCGATCGGCCAGGGAAGGCCGACCAACAAAACTTACAATGAGTACGAGGATTATGCACATAGATCCAGCTGTGCTCACACTGACTGCACTGAAGGTACGGGCGGCCATCATTAGACATGGCGCGGGAGCGGACGGGGGCCGCAGAATCCCCCACGCCAGAATGTCAAGTCCTGAGCCGAAACACTACGGACTTGAGCCAAAATGGCTACGGAGGGAGAAGGAGGAGGAGGAGGAGGAGGAGGAGGAGGAGGAGGATGAGGAGGAGATATGTTCCAGTTCCCGCAAGCCGCCTCCAGCTTCTCCCGCCAGGTGAGCTGCCGGGGCAGGTCGAAGGCGAGCTGCCCCCACGCGCCGGGGCGCCGCTCGCCGCCCGCCGCGGCGCCCGAGGCGAGGCGGCGGGGCGCCGCGTCGCCGCAGCCCGACCACCATCTGCGCGAGAGGACCCAGAGATCCAACGCACTGATTTTTAGTAGCAGTAATCATACTTATAATCATTAGTATTATCAGTGTTTCCATTAGTAGTAGTGGTATTATTACTAGTACGCTGATTATGATTATTATTACTATTATTATTATTATTACTATTATGATAAGTAGTATTAGTATCAGAATTATTCTGGGTACTTTCATCATTGACAATAATACATTATGAATGATAAGAGTAAGTAAATTTCCATGTGTATTATTATTTGTAAAAGTGGTAGTAAAAGTAGTAGTCGTAGTACTAGTGGTAGTTGTGGTGGTAGTAGTAGTAGAAGTAGTAGTAGTAGTAGTAGTAGTAGTAGTAGTAGTAGTAGTAGTAGCCGTAGCCGTAGCCGTAGTCGTAGTCGTAGTCGTAGTCGTAGTCGTAGTCGTAGTCGTAGTAGTAGTAGTAGTAGTAGTAGTAGTAGTAGTAGTAGTAGTAGTAGTAGTAGTAGTAGTAGTAGTAGTAAGTAGTAGTAGTAGTAGTAGTAGTAGTAGTAGTAGTAGTAGTAGTAGTAGTAGTAGTAGCAGTAGTAGTAGTAGTAGTAGTAGTAGTAGTAGTAGTAGTAGTAGTAGTAGTAGTAGTAGTAGTAGTAGTAGTAGTAGTGTCGTAGTCGTAGTCGTAGTAGTAGTAGTAGTAGTAGTAGTAGTAGTAGTAGTAGTAGTAGTAGTAGTAGTAGTAGTAGTAGTAGTAGTCGTAGTAGTCGTAGTAGTGTAGTAGTAGTAGTAGTAGTAGTAGCAGTAGTAGTAGTAGTAGTAGTAGTAGTAGTAGTAGTAGTAGTAGTAGTAGTAGTAGTAGTAGTAGTAATAGTAATGATAATAGTCGTAGGCGTAGTAGTAATAATAATAGTCGTAGTAGTACTGGTAGTAGTAGTAGTAGTAGTAGTAGTAGTAGTAGTAATAATATCCTTCTTAGTTACCATCCTTAGTATTCGTAGTAGTAGTGCTATAAGTGTATTTATTCATATATATATATATATATATATATATATATACATAGCTGTTCGCCCCTAGGGGCCCTCGCCGGCCCCAGGGACAGGGACCGTCGAAAAAGGCTGCAGGATGAAAAACCGGTCCCGGGGAATGTGTCGAGACTTCCGGGGGCCGCGCATGGAAAAAATCACGACACCGGATCTTTGGGGAGGTGCAGCTGCGGCCGCATGTGCCCCGCCTCGACCCACAGGTCGCCAGCGCCTCGAGCCAGAGAGGCCACCAGAGGAGCGGTGCCCAGCTGCAGTCGAGCGCGGGTGCGCCGCCGCAGCCGGACCACCACCTGCGCGAGAGAACATGCAGTCATCTCGCTGACCCGTGGAAGGCCAGATCAGGAACGAAGGGGCGTCTCTGACCGCAGCGAGCCACGCCCACGGGTAGGCTCCACCACCGACATCGAAAGCACGACGCGAGAAAAAAACAGAACCCGCCCGGCGACCAAACCGGTCCTGACTTCAGCGACTTTTGACTGTACAGCTGTGGCCGTGCGTGCCCCGCCTCGGCCAGCAGGACGCTGGCGCCTCGGGCAACAGGCCACATGAAAGATGTTGCTGTTCTCGTCAGCGACAGGAGGAGGAGGAGGAGGAGGAGGAGGAGGAGGAGGAGGAGGAGGAGGAGGAGGCGAGGAATAGGATTAGGAGGGGAGGAAGAGGAGGAGGAGGAGAAGGAGGAGGAGGAGGAGGAGGAGGGGAGGAGGAGAATGAGGAATAGGAGGAGGAGGAGGAGGAGGAGGAGGAGAGGAGGAGGAGGAGGAGGAGAAGGAAGAGGAGGAGGAGGGAGAGGAGGAGGAGGAGGAGGAGGAAAAGGAGGGGAGGAGGAGGAGGAGGAGGAGAAAAGGAGGAGAGGAGGAGGAGGAGGAGGAGAAGGAGGAGGAGAAGGAGGAGGAGAAGGAGGAGGAGAAGGAGGAGGAGGAGGATGGACAAATATGAACAATGATCCAAGCAGCGCGCATGGGTACGACACGCAACCCCGTCGTACATTTCTCAAGATTCCCCCTGCTTGGAAATGCAGACTGCTACTATCCGCATTCGGCGTGTCAGCCAGCAACCCACACTGAGGGGAGCAACCTACACTGAGAGAGCCTCATGGGACCTTCAGCAGCCGCCGACCTCTCCCTTGCCGAGGGGCCGGCGTCTAACCCTGCCTCATCGGTCCCTGTTCTGGTCTGCAAGCCCGATGTAGGCAGGTGCAAACAAAAAACACAAGGCCCGCACCGCGGCTCATGCGTGATGCGCAGCCAAAAAAACTTGCTGCGGCCTGCGCCGGGACTGCGGCACGAAGCAGCGCTGCCTGGCCACCGCCGTGCACACCGCACACCGTTGCCGTCCCTTCCCCCTCCCAGGCGGGGCGGGGCCGACCTCCAGCCTCGTCGGTTTTTGAACCGCGAGGAGGAAGAGGATTAGGAGGGGAGGAGGAGGAGGAGGAGGACGAGGAGGAGGAGGAGGAGGAGAAGGAGGAGGAGAATGAGGAATAGGAGGAGGAGGAGGAAGGGAGAGGAGGAGGAGGAGGAGGAGGAGGGAGGAGGAGGAGGAAAAGAAGGAGGAGGAAAAGAGGAGGAGGAGGAGGAAGGAGGAGGAGAAGGAGGAGGAGGGAGGAGGAGGAGGAGGAGAAGGAGAAGGAGGAGGAGGAGAGGAGGAGAGAGGGAAAAGGAGAAGGAGGAGGATGAGGAAGAGAAGGAGGAGAAGCAAGAGGAGGAGAAGGAGGAGAAGAGGAAGAGGAGGACGAGGAGAGGAGGAGAAGGAGGAGGAGGAGGAGGAGGAGGGTAGGAGGAGGAGGAAGGAGGAGGAGGAGGAGGAGGAGGAGGAGGAGGAGGAGGAGGAGGAGGAGGAGGAGGAGAGGAGGAAGGAGGAGGAGGAGGGAGGAGGAGGAGAGGGAGGAGGAGGAGGAGGAGGAGGAGGAGGAGGAGGAGGAGGGTGAGGAGGAGGAGGCTGGACCCGACCAGAAAGGGTCACGCATTGAATTATACCGCGGGGCCCCCTCAGGATCCTCTGCCTGGGCGTAAGCCAAACCTGGGTACAACCCCAGGCTCGGCACACGCCGACCTCGGTTCGACGCACACCGCGCCGCCCGCGCTCTTCAGGCGCACGTAGACCGGAGGGCCGCCGCCATCTTGGCTTTCACCTCCACGAGGGAGGCCTCCAGCTCCTTGGCGTTGAATTCCACGGAGCCCTTGTACACCATGGAGTCGCCCTGCTGAACAGCCGTCAGCGCCTCGACGAAAGGCACGCTGTCAATCGGCACCTCCGCAGACATGAAACCCTGGTCCGCCGTCGTGAAGCTAGGGTTGAGGCCGCCATCCAGCTCCTTCCGGGTGCTCTCGAAGTCAGGCTCGACCTGTGCCTTCAGCTGGCCCTGCAGAGCCGCCACGAGTGGCATAGCCGCCCCCAGCTCCGCCTCGAGCTTGAAGACCGCAGTCTCCATCTTCTCCATTTCATTATGCTCCAGGGGGCTGGACGGGAGGATGTCCATGGAGCAGTCACAGTTCGTCGACGACGACGTCTCGCAGAGGAAGGCCGCCACGTCCATAGGATGCCCGACGCTCGAAAGGCAAAGGGGGAGGGGGGCGATTCCGTGCTTCTTGGCTCAGAACATACTGAGGACAATATCGAATACGGTGATTTCCCCTAGTTCGATGCACCAACGGCGACATCGTCGACCACCTGATTCCTGACGGCGCCCTTCGCTGCAGGATCCGAGGGAGCCGAGCAATACGCCAACGACCTTTTCGACGAGCTGTGCGGCTACGAGGAAGAAACCACTCCATTCCAGGACTGGCTCGTTATCCCCATGCCTGCGCACGGCAACGTGCTTGAGGATAGCGAAATCGAACTCATGGACGACGACTAGAACATGGACGCGACTTCCGAGGCCGAGACCGCCTCGGCCACTCAGGACGAGCTTGAGGCCCGCCTGCACGGACACGTGCCAAGCAACGATGCGACGGACTGCATGCCAGGCCTGGGGCCACCTCCGACGGTCATCGTCGGCTTCAAATGCCGGGTAGCTGGGAGCGTCTTCTGGGGCAGCTCCGTCACTGCCGCCTTCGTTGCTGGGGCACGCGAGGCAGGCTCTTCTGACAACCACACTAACAACGGTCAGGACAAAGGTAAGTCTCATGACGGCCGACTGTCTGTCCCCGACTACACGCGCGGGCGTCAACCCAGTGGTTGGAGCAAACGGGAGATCAGGAATTGGTATTCCAAACAACACTTGGCTTGCGATGATGACGGCCACATCATCCGAGGAACCGTGACATGCGGAGGAAGGCAAAACGGGAACTGATAGCGGAGAGACAGAAGTACAACAAGCGGTCGAGCTGCAGTACCCTCAGCACGTGTCGACGCACAGCCGCGGCATCACAGTACAGACGAGCTGCGTCGAGGCCAATACTATTGACGCGCCACCCTATGTCGGCAAGCATGGCACGGATTCTTCCAGCCACGCAGGTTCTTGTTCAATCGCAGAAGACCTCCTACGTACCATGTCCGAGCCCTGCAAGCCCCTGCGACACCTGAAGTCCAGCGTCCACGCGATGAGACCCTGAGCCATGGCAGTGCCGTCCCAGCTCGCAAACCAGGCCTGTCTTTCCTCGTTGGTAATGAGGTCCTGTTCGCTGATCCATAGGTCGGTAATCTGATCGCTGGTCTCTGTCGGTGGCTCGTCCGCACTAGACCTAGACGCCGAGCTCGAGCCGAGGATCGGGAAGACCTGTCGGGACATCGCGCGTTCAGAGTTAGCACTATGTGCACTGCGTGTGCTGGCAAGGATGTCGGCTTTGCTGGCCGTTGAGCGTGGCCGCCCGTGGGGTCTGCCTCCCGCCCTTGCCCACTGTGCCTGTTCAAGTCTGTCCATGAGCGGATCGGCAAGGTGATTCTGAAGCATTACAGGTGGCCCCGCGCTGGCATTTGCAGCAGGTGTTCCCGCGCCCTGGATGGATGGCCTTTTGTTCTGCGCAGTAAACACGGCATTGGGATCGC